CTAGAACAGGACCTAGGAACAGAGTACAAAAGTTATAGTACCACTGTGGTGAAAATACAGTTTTCGAGCTATATTCATTCCAATGTTAGTCACACTCCGAGTAAACCCTTAATGGAGATGACTAAATTAATTGGTTAAATAAGAGTCAGATGATTTTAAAACTTAAAAATTGACACTCCCAGCTGTGAATTTGTGATTCATGACTTTCACTGATAGTGTGACATCCATTCGAGAGCTTCTTCATATGTTATATTTGATATCTCTTGGATATTGACCACATAAGCTCAAATGAATAGTGCATCACTGGGTGAAGAACAGACACATGGGATAAATTGATTTTGTTGGCATGTTAAAGAGAAGCTACCTAATTCATAGTTTCATTGCTATGAAATGAAACACAACTAGCCTTCAAAATTCACGCTTCTCTGAATTTTGCAATGCAATTCTCTGACCAAACAATGCATGTATTAGGAGAAAGTGTGCATAAAGATGCATACATTAGTGAAAATAACATACACAAATGCATTGTATTAGGGAAAATTTATATGTGTGTATATTAGTCAAAACTGCATAAAAATGGGTTTATTAGGAAAACTAATGAATTTTCATATTTATTTATTTTTTGAAAAAATAATAATTACCAATTTCTGGGGAAATGTGGAGAACTGAATGTAAGAGCAATGAGAAATAGAGGCAATCTGAAATTGACAGATGTGTGCATTCCTAGTGAAGAAGCAGTTCAGACACCAGGAGACCACTAATATGTAATTCCTTTTAGGCATGTAAAATGATACTTTGCCTTACACAATTGCCTACTGTGTTTTGTACTCGTAGGCAATCACCACCACCCAGAGTCTGAAATTTTCCCTGGTTTCAAAGCACCCTGTTCCCTGAAGATGACCCAAGATCCTCTGCATATTTGTCCCTTCAGACACACGTGAGCAGACTACCCTATTTTTAAAACATTGTATGCCAGGATTATGACATCAGGGTCATGATGTTCACAGCTGGAAGGCATGAACTTGTTTTTATTTCTCCTGGTAACTTTGCATGGTGATATTTGGTTCCAGGCCAGAGAGAATAAAGAGATGGAGTCCTTTTTGTGCATGTTTGTGTGCTAAAATATGGATTTTAAAAAACTAATGCTTTTGGAATAAGACTTTCCTGCCTCTGCCCCAGCCTCTCTGCAGGAGCCAGCTATTAAACTTTCAGAGTCTGTGTTCTACTCAAAACGGATACCACCTTTAAAAATGATAGCTATCAGAAATGCAATGAGTTTTTTAAAATGGACGGTAATCTAATAATAATAATAATAATAATAATAATAATAATAATAATAAAATTTTATTTATATCCCGCCCTCCCCAGCCGAAGCTGGGCTCAGGGCGGCTAACAACAATCAAATAATCCAACATTCTAAAAACATTTCATTATAAAAATTAATTAAAATCAAATTTATGGCAACCATTAAACAAAATTCTGTGCAGATTGTCAGAGGAGGGAGTCAGGCTGCGCCCTGACCAAAGGCCTGGTGGAACAGCTCTGTCTTGCAGGCCCTGCGGAAAGATGTCAAGTCCCGCAGGGTCCTGGTCTCTTGTGACAGAGTGTTCCACCAGATCGGAGCTGCGGCCGAGAAAGCCCTGTCTCTAGTTGAGGCCAGCCTAACCTCTCTGTGGCCTGGGACCTTCAGGGTGTTTTTATTTTCAGACCGTAAGTTCCTCTGTGGGACATACCAGGAGAGGCGGTCCCGTAGGTATGAGGGTCCTAGGCCGTATAGGGCTTTAAAGGTTAAAATCAGCACCTTAAACTTGATCCTGTACTCCGCCGGGAACCGGTGCAGCTGGTACAGCACTGGGTGAATGTGATCTTGCAGCGAGGACCCCGTAAGGAGCCTCGCCACAGCATTCTGCACCCACTGGAGTTTCTGGGTCAGTCTCAAGGGCAGCCCCAAATAAAATGTTTTATTTCCTAACAGTTTAAAATATTTCCAAAAATATATTTTATTCATTTGCTTATTGCCTTTATATCCTGCCTTTTCTCTGAGGAGCTCATTGTGGCATACATGGTTCTGTTCCTCATTTAATCCCCACAACAGCCCAGTGAGGTGCGTTCGGCTGAGAAGCAGTGACTGGCCTGAGGTCAACTAGTGAATGACCTGGCTGAGTGGGGATTTAATCTCACCTCCTAGGTCCAACACTCTAGCCACCCTACTCCACTGGCTCATATAAGTGCTAGAAATGTTCCAAAAATAATTATGTGTCAAAGTAAGTAAGTGTGATGAAAGAAGCTTTAGTGTCTCGCTCCACATTTAACTCAGTTGTATTTTGGACATAGTGCTAAACCATGGCTTAGCATTATGTCTCAGGCACTTGAGTTCCCAGCCTGATCCTGGATTAACCACAGTAAACCAGTAAACACAGTAAACCAACAGCAGATCTACACTCCTGGTTTTTAATGTTAAGAAAAGGTTAAGGAATAGTTTTGATAACCATATGGCCACATGACATCCTGCTCTTAATGTTATTAAAATGTGACAGCAGAGGGTGCTGCAGAGAAAACAAAACAAAGTGTTCCCTGTTTTGACGGAGGTAAGAAATGCTTTATTTTACGAGTATGCCCTGTGACACTGTAGAACAATATATATAATATGATTTTAATAATGTTTAAAAGGTCAGTGTATCCAGCCCAGGAATGTGCAACCTGTGACCTTTCAGATGCTACTGGGCTGCAATGTCCATCAGCCTCTTCCAGCATGGTCCACCATCAGGGATAGTGAATGTTTGCCCTGTTGGAAGGTATGGGGCAAAAATTCGATTCAGTTCACATTTAAAAGTGAGTCTTTTAAAACCTGAGCTTTCTGAAACAGCACATGAACTGACAGTCATCCTTCGCAATTTGCATTTCCCCAGTTTTGTATTGTAGTTCTGTAGCCAGCTAATGTGTACAAAAATGTTATTATTATATGTGTGTGCGTGTGTATAAAATGTTTGTTAGTGAGAATAACACAAAAAATGCATTATATTAAGGGAAATTGCTTTGCTAAAATGTGTCTATTAAGAGAAATCTGCACTAAAATGCTAGTGAATTTTCAGGACCACCTTTTTAAAAAAAGAAATTCACAAAGGGATATAGAAATATGGAAAACTGAACTTTAGATCTGAGAAACGGAGATAATTCAACATTGACTGATACCTGTTGGGATGTACAAATAAACAAGAGTAACCACAGTAAGCATTATGAAAAAAAAGTATGTGAATATTTCCAATCATCTTCTTACGGCTACAAGGATCATTTGTGTAAGCCCTAAGCCACAGTTTAGTGTTTCTTCTAAAATGGTTTTCAGTTTCTATGCAAAGGTGCTCTTGTCAAAGTGCTAAATATCTGGAACCTCCCACCACATTCAGGTCCCGCCCCCCTCGATCCCAGGAAATCTGGAAAAAAATGACAGCATGTTTCTTCTGAAGCATGTCCCACTGTGATAAGTGGGATTTGAAAGGCTATAATAGGTATAGGAATGTGAATTTGTGACTGGGACTCCTGACATTTCCCTCACATTTAACCATTTGCATGGCATCTCCAAATTGGATCAGAGCAGCAGCAGCAGCAGTGGGGTACCCACCCCCTGTCCAAGTTACCATTATATGTGCAGTGAGAAAAAGAGAAGTCTTGATAACATAGTCCCTCCTTCTCCTCCTTCTGCAATGAGGGGATATAGTTTGAGGAAGCAGCAGGAGGGAAGAAGAAGAAGAAGAAGAAGAAGAAGAAGAAGAAGAAGAAGAAGAAGAGTTTGGATTTGATATCCCGCTTTATCACCACCCTAAGGAGTCTCAAAGCGGCTAACATTCTCCCTTCCCTTCCTCCCCCACCACAAACACTCCCCTCCCCATTCCACAAGCAATCACTGCTCTGATTCACTGTGTACATCCCTGGGACTGCTTTGACTCGGTTCACACATCAAACACAGTGTCTGATTTTGCTACACTTGAGCACTATTTTTATTTACTTATTTATATACCATTTGATCACATAGCAACTGCCACCACCCACAAAGGGATTTACAAAAAGAATAAAACAATGGCACGGCAACCTTCTAGATATCTGGGAATGCTTGCTGGAACATAAATGGTTTTAGCAGATGCCAAAAATGGGACAGAGACAGCTCTTGCCTGATGCTAATATGTTGGGACTTCCAAAGTGCAACAGTGCCAGTTCTTCAGATGAAGCGTAGGCGTAGCATAAATAGGGTGAGGCGATCTTGCAGCTGAACGTGTGAACCGACCCCACAGAATTGCATCTGAGGTGAAAGGAAGGTTTCGTACAAATCGTTCTGTCGTGACCCATTCACACATGCAAGCGACCACTTAAGTTTGTGCTCAGCGAGTGGTGGCCAATGCGTGTGTGGCAGCTGCACGTCATTGTGTGGCCAGAGCCGAAAGTGCTTCATTACAATGCAAATATAAAAGAGGCGAAGGCACAGTAATGATCTCATGAGTACGGTATGGGCTTGCCACAGGGCAATGAAACCTGGCACTTGACTTGGGGATTTATTGTTTAAATAGTCCCCATTGAACTGGAGTGTCAGATCCAGAGGGTGCCAAATCAGAAAGGGCATGTGGTACTTGGCAGAGCCCGAGGTGCCAAGTGAGGTAAGGCATGCAAAAACTGGGCAAGACAGCCTATTACACGGGCGCTACCACATCTCCTGATCTTTATTACTTAATCCAAAGAAGCAGGCTGGCTTGGGAATTTTTATGGAACCCAGAAGTTTTCATGTGACTTACTCTGGCCTTCCGTGTTCAGGAAACACAGTTGTGGTTCAGGGCAATGGCTGTGGGGTTTCTCCATTTAGCTAGGACCCTTCAATATTTCACAGATGAAAATAGGGACACCCTATTGAACAACAACAACAACAACAACAACTTTTTATTCATAGCCCACCCATTTGACTGGGTCGCCCCAGCCATTTTGGGCAGCTTCATATATATATATATATATATATATATATATATATATATGTGTGTGTGTGTGTGTGTGTGTGTGTGTACACACACACACACACACACACATATATACACACACATAAATACACACACATATATACACACGTATATATATATTACTATGTGTATATATATATATATTATGTGTATGTATATATATATATATATATACACATAATAAAACACGAAACATTTTTTTAAAAACCTTCCCTATACAGGGACACCTTTCAGATGTCTCCATATTCCCATAGAAACTGCAATTGACAGATTGCATGATGCAGAGCGGTGGCAGCATACCCACCAACATTTCTCCAATGAAAATAGGGACATCCTATTATTATTATTGTGGGACATGGGTGGCGCTGTGGGTTAAACCACAGAGCCTAGGGCTTGCCGATCAGAAGGTCGGCAGTTCAAATCCCCACAATGGGGTGAGCTCCCGTTGTTCGGTCCCTGCTTCTGCCAACCTAGCAGTTTAAAAGCACATCAAAGCAGGAAGGTAAACGGCGTTTCCGTGCGCTGCTCTGGTTCGCCAGAAGCGGCTTAGTCATGCTGGCCACATGACCCGGAAACTGTACGCCGGCTCCCTCGGCCAATAAAGCGAGATGAGCGCCGCAACCCCAGAGTCTGTCACGACTGGACCTAATGGTCAGGGGTCCCTTTACTTTTACATTATTATTATTATTATACCCCACCCATCTGACTGGTTTGCCACAGCTGTTCTGGGTGGCTTCCAGCATATACAAACAATAAGAAAATATTAAACATTTAAAAACTTCCCTATACAGGCGTGTCTTCAGATGTCTTCTAAAGGTTGTATAGTTACTTATCTCCTTTGCTCGGGGGTCACATAACTCCATACTTGCCAATGAAAATAGGGATGTCCTACCATACCCTCCAACATTTATCCGATGAAAATTGGGACATCCTAAGGAAAAACGGGACATTCCAGGATCAAATCAGAAACCAGGACAGCTTCTGTAAATCCAGGACTGTCCCTGGAAAATAGGGTCACTTGGAGGGCCCGCGTACTGCGAGGATGGTGGCTGTCTTATTCCTGGTTGGGCTATTTGTCTAGCAATGACAGCAGCTCCCCATGGCATCAGACAGGGTTTTCCCTATCACATGCTATCTGTTTGGTTTTTTTTGAATAATTTTTATTAAAGTTTTAAACAAAGAAAAAAGAAAAAACAACACACACACAAAAAACAATACAAAATTTAACAATAAAAACACACAACATAACACACAACATAACAACATAACAATCACATGCTATCTGATCCCTTTAACTAGAGATGCCACAGACTGAACCTGAAACCTTTTGTGAGCAAAAAGCAGGTGCTCTACCAGTGAGCTATGCCACCTTTTCTGGTCACAGATGCAATGCTTTTGTGATATGAAGAGCTGTGGAGAAATCACTTTTTGTTAATGAGGTAAAGGTTTTGTTTCAAGAGAGAGAGAAGCAGGGAATTCTGGAAGATACAGAGTTACCTGTGCATGCTATCTTGACTTACTGCCAAGAGCTGTAAGAGATACGTCTCCAGAACAGTCCTGCAGGTGGCTGAATGGTTATATTCTGTCAAAACAAGGATAGCTTTGAGAAGGAGGTCCTGTAGGCTTATACAGGCACAGCGGAATGAAATTGGGCAAATTTCTATTGGTCACTGCAGCGGACGTTCTGCCTCACCCCTTTGGACCAGACTTGGCAGGGGAATTCCATTCAAATGTAAAAGGATTGGCTGGAGAGAGACCCTGCTTGAGTATAAAAGGCAGGCCTCAGACAAAAGCAGGTCAGACTTGAGGGTGCTGGGGTGGTGAAGGAGTCTTGAGGCCAAGTCTTTGTGTGACAAAGAAGTTGGCAGTAGGTGAAGGGAGTCGTGACTTGGCGAGGCATGAGAAGCCTAAAAGCAGCCAAGAGCTGAAATCACTGGCTGGAGATGAAGAAGGTCTATGTGGGAGTGTGTGTGTTTGTCAAGAGGCAGCCTCTGAGGGAGCTTGGAAAGCAAGGGGTGGCTATTAAAAATGTCAGTACATTGTGGTGGTCTCTGAAATATGTACAGTAGCATGCGCAGCAGGGATGTGGACAGAAATATTTTCCACCCAAATCCTACAGGAATAGACAAGGTTCAGGTTGCAATGACAGCTTCCTCCAAGTGCTGGGGAAATTTCCATTAGAACTGCTACATGGAGGAGACTCCCGTTTTGTTGCAATGCTTCTCCTAACCAGGACGCCCTGCAACTACGTTTTTAATGCAGGCCTGGCCAAAGTGGGGCCACCTGCAATAGTCCCTGACCACTGGGTCATGCTGGCTGAGACTGATGGGAGTTGTGGTCCAACATCACCTGGAGGTCACCATATTAGCTTCTGCCAGGTGTGGCAGTAAGTGACCCTTCTACAAATCAGCAGGAAGAATGCAACATGTGATTGCTATAGGTCCTTATTATATCTAATACCATACCTGAACAAGCACATTTGTTGTTGTTGTTGTTAAGTCACCCTTCACCATAAGATCTTAGGTAGGTTCACATAATAAAATACAACAAAGTTATAATTCTCCCCTTCCCATAAAAAGGTAAAGGGGACCCCTGACCATTAGGTCCAGTTGTGGCCGACTCTGGGGTTGCGGCGCTCATCTCGCTTTATTGGCCGAGGGAGCCGGCGTACAGCTTCCGGGTTATGTGGCCAGCATGACTAAGCTGCTTCTGGCGAACCAGAGCAGTGCATGGAAATGCCGTTTACCTTCCCGCTGGAGCGGTACCTATTTATCTACTTGCCCTTTGACATGCTTTTGAACTGCTAGGTTGGCAGGAGCAGGGACCAAGCAATGGGACCTCACCCCGTCGCGGGGATTCGAACGGCTGACCTTCTGATTGGCAAGTCCTAGGCTCTGTGGTTTAACCCACAGCACCACCCGCGTCCCTCCCCCTTCCCATAGACACATTTAAAAGGCTGTAGGATATTAATCAGCCAAAGGCCTGGTTGAAGAGGAACATTTTCACCACACACACACACACACACACACACACACACATAGTGCCAGGTGAACCTCCCTGGGGAGAGCACTCCACAAACGAGTAGCCACTACAGAGAAGGCCCATTCTCATATTGCCACCCTCTGGACCTCCCATGGAGAAGGCACACAAAGAAGAATCCACAACAGGGAAGTCCTTACTGACAGTGTACAACTTTATTATGGAGCCTTTTCTTTTGCAAGGAGATCAGTACACGCGGAGTTACCTCCTTCCCTGACCTTACAATAGTTGGCCACTCTGGATTCTTCTGTGCATCACAACCATGCTTCAGATATGTTTTTAGTTCAATTTCTGGGTACAGACTTCATGTAGTCATTGCGGCCATTTCTGCCTTGAACTCACCCAACTAACCTGACTTGAAATTCAACTCTCTATTATCTGAAACTTTATCTGTCTTTGTTCCTTGTCGTGCAATCTTTAGAGAAAGTGGATAATTCATGTCATTTAATTTAGGCTGTTGATTTACAAGGTATTTATAGTTTCTTCCCGAGCTTTTACTATAAATAGAGTACTTTTCATTGTCTCCCACGGAATGTATTATCCCTGCTTCATTTTCCCCCACACACTGTGTCTAAATGTACAGAATCTGAATATGTCACAGGGTTCCTCCATAGTTTAGATAGGAGTGTGTAAATAGCTTTTTACCATTTTGAAACCACCATGGAAAGGTGTAGCTGTGTTACACCACAGTAGCATTTTCACTGTGCATTCTTCTCATCTGTGTCTTCCTTAACCTTCCATGATCCTGCTGTGAACCTCTAGAGCAGAGCGATCCAGCTTTTCATTGCCAAGTGGGCCACAAAACTACTTTGACATGGAACCTGCAGGCCACACCCTGCCTTGTTGCTTATGGGGGCAGTGAAGCTAAACAAAATTTGATATACAGTACCCCCCTCCCAAGCCTTCCCGAAGCTGGCTAAATGAGGTGCTGGGCTTTGGGAAGGAGGCACAAGGCTCAAACAGGGTCCTAGAGCCCTACCACCAGCTTCCTAAAACTTTGAGAAGATGGTAGGAGGACATTAGGTCCCTGTCAAACCCCTCAGACCTCCTCCTCAAAGCCTAGCGTCTCACTTACCTGGTTCTGGAAGGCAGCTCGGGGCCTGTGAGGAACATCAAATGTTGTTGAGGACTGCCCAAAAGGTCTTTGGGAAGGAGGCAATTGTAGAAGAAGAAGAAGAAGAAGAAGAAGAAGAAGAAGAAGAAGAAGAAGAGGAGGAGGAGGAGTTTGGATTTGATATCCTGCTTTATCACTACCCGAAGGAGTCTCAAAGCGGCTAACATTCTCCTTTCCCTTCGTCCCCCACAACAAGCACTCTGTGAGGTGAGTGGGGCTGAGAGACTTCAAAGAAGTGTGACTAGCCCAAGGTCACCCAGCAGCTGCGTGTGGAGGAGCGGAGACGCGAACCCGGTTCCCCAGATTACGAGTCTACCGCTCTTAACCACTGCACCACATTGGCTCTCAGGTTTTTTTTAAGGAAACCACTGGAATTATTGACCTTTTTTAAAAACAAAAACATCAAAAAAAACCCACAACCCACCATTTTCAATTGACTTGCCTAAGATCCATGACAAACGCAGCCTTTAGGAAATCATCATATTACTGTAATTCTGCCTTTGAAATCCTGGGAAAATCTGGACGTATGGCAGCCCTAAATCTTACCTAGTGGTGGGGGGAGAAGCAAGGCCTCTTTCTCTCCTTGATATCCCCTTCCCTGCTCTGCCTCCTAGAATGCAGTAGCAGTCATGTCCTAAGCATTGGTATCCCTGGAGAGTCATGTTTCCTATGCCTCCCTGATGCCCGAGACATTACGTTGGCTGTGTTCAAGGTGTCAAAAAGAGAAAGGGAGAGGGGAGGAAGAAGGACTAGAGAGAAAGGGGGGAAAGAGCTGGAGATCTTGCCCTTGGCCCACTGCCAGGTAAGATTGGCAAAAGGGAAAGGGTTTTGGTTGGGTGGAGAGGTATAAGGGATCCTAGGGGTAACAGGCAGTGGGTCTGGGGAAAAGGGGGGCTGCTTAATCTCCTCCCTTTCTGCATCTGTCATGCAGA